TTAGCATCACTATGTCCAGAGCACAGTCACTCAGGCCTCTGTGCACCTTGTTTTCTGCAGGCTGTCTGTTCATTCTGCCGACGAGTGTTCGTCTCGTCTTCCCAAACCTCCCTCTAAATCTCTCAACACTTTGGCCAAGTGCTTAAGCCTGGTGCAGACCTGCAAAACAAGGGGCTATACGATGATAAGGATTCTCCTTAGAAGGCAGTGCGGAACTATAAATACCAATTATAAATAGAAATGGGGAATTAAAATAAGGGGGAAATGGTTTATTTCTTACTGCATTTTTCTCTTTAAAAGTATTTGCTACCTTAGAAAAAAGTACAATACTGATCCCTTCTTTGAGCCTGCGAAAAGAGAATACACACATATTATTTACGGGACATCCAGACGCCATTTGACCCCTCTTCTCCCCTCTTTTCCTAAGAAATCAGGTAGGACTTCTCTGAAGTCCTTTTTGGAACACTGATTCTTAACTGAATTTGGGACATCTTAAGGTGATTGGGTGCTTGGAAACTCTCCCCCATTCTTGATTCCAACAAGGCAGCATTAGCATTTTAGTAACTGGAAAAGAGTTTGCAGATTGAGTTTTGGGCCACATGTTTATCATGCTCCCTTCAGGTCCTCCTTAGAGGGTTTGCTATATCTTTGTAGGAACTCCACTGAGCTTTACTTTTGCTCTTGGAAGTGAAATACAACATCTCCTTGGCTGTTATAAATTTCTGATCCTGATTCCTGACAAACCAGGGAAGATTTCTTTCACTGGTGCAGTCTGCTACACAGGCCTCTGTGCACCTTGTTTTCTGCAGGCTGTCTGTTCATTCTGCCGACGAGTGTTCGTCTCGTCTTCCCAAACCTCCCTCTAAATCTCTCAACACTTTGGCCAAGTGCTTAAGCCTGGTGCAGACCTGCAAAACAAGGGGCTATACGATGATAAGGATTCTCCTTAGAAGGCAGTGCGGAACTATAAATACCAATTATAAATAGAAATGGGGAATTAAAATAAGGGGGAAATGGTTTATTTCTTACTGCATTTTTCTCTTTAAAAGTATTTGCTACCTTAGAAAAAAGTACAATACTGATCCCTTCTTTGAGCCTGCGAAAAGAGAATACACACATATTATTTACGGGACATCCAGACGCCATTTGACCCCTCTTCTCCCCTCTTTTCCTAAGAAATCAGGTAGGACTTCTCTGAAGTCCTTTTTGGAACACTGATTCTTAACTGAATTTGGGACATCTTAAGGTGATTGGGTGCTTGGAAACTCTCCCCCATTCTTGATTCCAACAAGGCAGCATTAGCATTTTAGTAACTGGAAAAGAGTTTGCAGATTGAGTTTTGGGCCACATGTTTATCATGCTCCCTTCAGGTCCTCCTTAGAGGGTTTGCTATATCTTTGTAGGAACTCCACTGAGCTTTACTTTTGCTCTTGGAAGTGAAATACAACATCTCCTTGGCTGTTATAAATTTCTGATCCTGATTCCTGACAAACCAGGGAAGATTTCTTTCACTGGTGCAGTCTGCTACAGATATGTGTAATTATTGTACTCAGAACAAATGGGGGATTCTTCTGCCTTAAAGAGGCATGATTTTCTTTTCTTAAATCTAAGGTCTGCTTGTTGCCATGTGGTTATATGTTTATCATGTTTGGGACCATGCCATTTTCTGTACCAGAAGCAAAGTAGTTGGTGTAGTCTCTAATTAGCACTCCAGAATTAGTGTGGAGATCCTTCTAAATGAGGGAAACCCACTTAAGCCATTCCTAGGGATTCTGTCTTTTGAGAATTCAACACTTGTTTGGATTTGCTGAGTCACACCTGTATTTCCTTTAATTCTTTAATTCCTAATTGGTGACACAATCCCAAACAGCACCTGGTGTTATCTTCCTCTCTGCACCCAAATTAAGCTTCATTCCCAGCAAAACTCATGTGGGTCTCTGCAGTCTGTGATGAAGCCTAAGTTTCTCTGAAGAGGCTTCACTATAAACTACTCTTAGCAAGTTGTTCCAACCAGATCTGAGTTTTAAAATTATGCTTTATAGCATCTTGTCATATGGCATACTGCAAGAGGCGTTTTTCATCTTCCTGGTAATGTATGGTCAGAAAGAAATCTGGCATATGAATGCAGGAAGCTCTCCACCTTTCCTGAGATTTGGCTCTTCAGGCTTTGAGTAGGATTCCATTGAGGTAGCATATGAGGCTTTGAGACCACATGTGATTCCTAAGGCTGGAAGACTTTTCAACTATCTTTTATCATTTTTCTGCCTCAGAGTTTTGCCACTCAACATTTCAGCAGCCTTTCTAAGCATAGTGTACAATCTTTTTTCCATTTTCTGAAAATGTTTCTGCATAGCACTGGACCAGGGTTCCAATTTTTGGCTGATAACCACCCTCAGAGTAGATTCCCAATCTCATGGGAATGTTTTAGCTGGTGAATCTGGAGGGTTTTAAATCATCCCAAATACATTGATAAAGCTATTTTATCTTCTAGAAAAGACTGTTTTTTCTAAGAAGTCATGTGCCCATAGTGCTATGGTGGAATGGATATCACTTTCTTACCTGCGTCTTTCTAAGTTGCATTCACTCCAATAACCTCACTTAATGCTTTGAAAGCCTGTCTTTGCAGGCTGAACATCTCAACTCAAATGGAGCATCCTACCGTTTGATCTCAGAAGAGTTGCCGTAGCTTCTTGCATGATTATGAGGCAATAGCACAGGGTCATCATGAGCCAGTGTAAACTCCCAAGCTCTGTGTGTCCTAGGACTAGGTAATTGTGGAGAGGGCATGTACATCATCAGTGACTCAGTCCTACAGTGATTATTTAATGGGAGGTATAACTGGGCACTGGACCTTAGTTCACAGAATTGATTTTTCAAAAAATAAGCTAAGGTATATTCATGGTCTAAAGCTTAATTAGTTTAAGGAAGAAATGGAAAATGTCTCTTTACCATGCTGACTTTTTAACATGTAGAAAACTTTTGACTTTTGACATGTAGAAAACAACCATGACTCCTTTAGTCATAAAGAAATTAAACTTGCTGATTAATACACAAACCCAGACATGGATTTCTCCCTAAGTATTACACAGCTATTTTATTTCTGGTAATTTTTACCGTTCATCTTAACCTATGAATCAGAAGGTATAGATCATTTTATTTTTATTTAGCAGACTGAAATCTAACCTCAAATTTTCAACACTTAAACTTTAAAGAAAAGGTAGGCATTTTAGCAAATTAGTTTTGAGCAGATTCTTCCTAAAAGCAATTTAAAGTCACTTTGTAAAAGTGATTTAACGTCACACGAGAATGTGTCTTTTTAGCTGATTTTTCATGTATGTTTTCTCTTGGAAAACAAGAGTACTTATTGATGCCCTTTTAAGAGAGTTTAGTACCAAAGTCTTTTATAATTTTACAGTTTAACATTTTGGTAAAATGTTTGTTCACTTGTTACATTTACACTACTTTTTCTATAATACGTCTTTTGTACTTGTCCTTCGTCACTTCCCTCAGTTTATTTTCAAGTATAATGATAAACTACCATAACATTCCATCTGGCAGAGAAAATGTTTAAGAAGCCAGTTCCCTAAATTTTTTTATCTAGAAAAAACTTGAACAGTAGAATAAATTTTGTTATATCATCTTATGTATTATTTTAATATCTTAAGAATTTTTTTCTATACTTTTTAACATTCTTGTCAGTATTACATTTTATTAACTCTAGGGAACAACCAGTAACTTGGGTAAATAATAAAATTAAAGTTATTAATTCCCAAGTCATTTAGAAGAAAATTAGGTTTAATACTGATATAATTGAGACTGAACATTCTGTGTATAAAGTATTGCACCATAAAGAAATTGGAAACTTTGATAGAAAAATAAAGGACTTTGCTATGTATATTGCCATTCACCAATTTTTTTTCCAATTGGGGGAGGCAGTATGTTAAAATTTTAAGGCATCATTAATTTCCATAACCAACATAAGGTATAAGTTAACTGTGTTTGAAAGCATTAAATACTTTTTATAACTGCTTTTACTGAATTGTTGATTTGATCAGATAGTAAAAAATAAAAATGATGAAACAGATTTTCTCTTTTACATAATGTAGTTTTTTATTCAACTTCAGTTAATATTGTTGTATAACTCAGTAACCAAATACAGGGTGTTCAGGTCTGGATTTTCCAATACGTGCACAGTGCTAGGAGCTGAGAGATTGATATGAGCTATCAAGAGCTCATTGCATTTATTATGGGCACCTGCTTCTTAATTAAGGTGTTAATGATTGCTCATGATATGCTGAGCTTGCGTAGAATAAAACTGTTTTTCTCTGGTTGTCCCTTTCCTTTGTTGGCTCTGAATTATTTTCTCTTCTACATTCCATTTCTGCTGTCATTTCTAATAGCTCTGCCTCACCACCACATCCTAAAATTAATGTAGGGGCCATGACTACATCTTAATGTTTGTTTGTACTTATGACCCTCCACCTCCAAATTTTAATATAGAATTAAGGAAGGAATGGATAGATTTAGTAGCTTTTGAACACTAATGAAGGGTGTCTTGGCACATTTGCATTAAAATTCCAATGCATATTAAACATAAAATCTGCAATACAATTTTTCTTTCATAATAGAATAGAACAAATATTAAGTACTCTTAGGGTGGGATGCTATTTAGAAAGAGTGGTTACTGTCCCACATCTTGAACTATGAAAATCAAGAATATTTTCTCATAACTAGAAAAATCCACCAGGGTTCCTGTTCCTCAGGTCTCCAGTCTTATAATTACAGAATGTTCAAAAAGGTTTATCTTTGTGATTGGGCTTATTAGTGTGCATATTTTCTGGGGGTTGGGGGAAGTTTGGGGAAATACACATTTAGTGAGAGCTATTCATTAGCCACCATTGAAGAAGCAATTGAACTTTAAAGAATCTATCAAAATTCTCTGGTGAGCCTTTTATTACTATCTTGTCTTGAGCCCTTTTTTTAATGACATCTATTATCAGATTGAAATGGCGATTGAGACGCTGCAAAAGTCTGACGGTCTGTCCACTCACAGAAGCTCTCTTCTCAACAGCCATGTAAGTTGCCTCTTCTTCATGTAAACTAATCTCTTGCTTGTTCTGCATGTGTTGCTTGCTTCTAAATGCTTGTTTTATTTATTTACTTAATTTGTTTTGTTTCTTAACCTTCCTTTCTCAGCCCTTTATGATCTCTGTATCACTAAATGGCTATCTTATACAGTGGACTATCTTGAAAATAGATTCCTCCCGACTCCCCACCCCCAATGTAATATACTGCTTTACTAGGTTTTTGTACTGTTTTGGTACTGTGATAACATTTCCAAGTTAATGACAAGCTGCCATTTATTTGTAAAAAGTAATTGATGGAGATTTTTAATATTTAAATTTTTTTTCTTTGATATTTACTGTGAAGCAAATGCTTGTAATATGCATCTTTATGTCTGAGACAGAGAAAAGGTCGTGTCTATTTGCATGACCAATAATATTCTTTAAGTGGAAAAATAGTATTAATGCCAAACCCAATGGTAAACTATTAAAAAATACTCTTTGCCAATAAGTCTTTATTAGATCATGAAGAATCAGCTACCTAGATAAGCTCAGGTCCTAAGACCTCAGGAAGAGTAAAACTGGGCCTAATAAGGCTCTTGATAAGCTGTAAGTTGATAATAAATGAGATAAAACAGGACTACTATTATTTCTTGAAGCTTTTTATTTATCAGAAGCAGCATCACTATAACACTGGTAAGTGTAAGAAAAGTGATAATAGTTCTGTGTAACTGTTAACATTTTCATTGACTGTTCAAATTTTGGGGAACTAATGAAAATGCTGATTAAAATTTATTTTGTTACCATGATTTCTGAATTTATGAGGAAAAGTAGACTTAAATCTGTTTTAGATAAATCTTCTGCTTAATTAATATCAGTGACAATGGAGTAAGAATTAGAGTTTTCCATCACAAGTGACAATGTATTCTAAAATTTTGAGGTTAAATTACTGTGGATTTTTAATTCTTCATCCTATTTTATGACTGAAAAGTCCGAATGTGTATAACCCAAATGAAATGAAAAATTGTTTTTTTCAATAAACCTAAAGCTTTTAGCTCAAAGAAACATTTTCACTATGCTTTTTAAGTATTTGATTTTTCAAATGCTTTAAATTTAATATTCCAACATAATAATACTTCTTTATGTTCTTACACATTTGTTTTTCATTGAAGTATTTTGTCTTGTTTCTTTTTTTTCAAGAGGAAATATCATAGCAAATAAAAACAGATTAGCCAACTTGGAGAATGCCTGCAAGTTTGGTGAAAATTATAGGTTGTTAATGTTAAAAGAATACCTATTTTGGCCTTTCTTTTTGAAACAGTTTAAGGAATATGACTTTTTCCCCTCTCTGAAAATTGGTATGGACCATGTCACTCTTTTATGTTTCATAAGCATATCCCTGCTGTGTTAGCATGAGTCTGTAGTTGTATGTAAAGACTGATTTACTGTGTACTATTCAGGTGTGTAGTTTTGGGGAGGTGGGTCATGACTAACTAATATTTGTGTTTTGAAAATGGCAAGTGAAAATGGTCACTTTTGTAAAAAACGTGCCAGGATATAAGAAAAAAAAAACAACTTGAAGTTTCCAGTAACCTTTTTTGAACTGTCAGACTCCTAAGGAAGCTCTGCTTTCATATTCCTCACCTTTCATCTTCATTGGAGATATATAGTTTAGTAAAATTTATTTCATTTTAACTTGAAGTACACATCTCAGTTTTTTCCTGAATAGTAATATAGGTATAAGAACAGATTTCTTGGATATTTCTATGTTTGTTGACTTGTTTGAAAGTTTTCAAGTATGTTGGGAGTTTTTGAAATTATCATTCTCTTGTGGAATTTATCAAGTACTATTTGATGTTAATGAATATGTTATTTAAGTTGCATAAGCAACAGATAACTGTTTGTAACTCTGTGGCTTCATATTTTTTATTACATAGCATGGCAGCTCTTCTATATTGTTTACAACTGCCAGAGCCATTTCAGTAGAAAGAGTGGGTGTAAATATTGCTAATGTGGTGATAATCTTTCTCGAGGTGTCCTGATTCATTTTTATTACACCTCTGAGGTACAGTTAAATTCATTTAAAACACATTTATAGTCAAGTTTTTAAACATACAAATGATTCTACAGATGGTATGTAAACAGTGAAGAAAGGATCGGTGTTTCTGCTGACCAATCGGGTTACATTTCTCCATGAACACAAAAGAAGATCCTGTTGTCTTTCTGTCCTTGGAAAGAGTTAGTGATGCTCCTAAATACTGTTCGATTTATCCAAACAACTAGAATAAGCTACTGTATGCATTCTAGTTTATAACCACCTGCCTAAGGGTAGTTTGAGTTCTTTTAGTCTAATTGGTGATTTTCAGTTGTGTAGAAAGGTTTTAGTGGGGAGGTTTTTAAAAAATACATTGTTAATATTTTAAATGTCAATAAACTATAAGTTACCTTTATTCCTCACTGTAGAAGACATAACAGAGTTATTTCAGTTTTATGGGATTCTTTGAAGTGGACATGGATTCAGCTTTATGATCATAGTTGCCTGACTTATCAGTTTCTACAAAGGATCAATTTCATTAGGCAAAACTTAGGAGAAATTATCAATAATTTGTGTCCCATACTTACTAGTTATTAAAGAGAAATATTAATCATGATCTTTGAACAGGAAGCCCATTGTCATTCTACTTCAGAATATAGAATAGAATGGATTTCCTATTTTCTCTTTATAAATTTGATTATTCTGGTGATTGAGAAAATTCATATTAGGGTCAAATCAAATAAATAATCCTGTGTCAATAGAATCCATCCTGATTTCTTTGTTTTGGTACCTTTCTGCACTTTAGAAGATAGAGTGGGTATTATATTTCACATCCCTTTTCAGCACATTCTCGAAAGTATTTGGTATTGCTGATGTGTTCTTATCTTTGTCATGCTGTTATCATCCAGGTTGAAATGCATGTATAACTTGTTTGTTTCATACCCTGTGTACTGCGCCAACTATAACTGAGTACAGTTACACTGAATGCCATTCTGTTAACAGTATTAACATAATGGCAGTTATTTCAGTAGTAGCATTGTATGGGCAGACAGCAAATATTTATTGATAAGTTAAAAGTTCCAAGAGAGTAAGTATTTTATATTATGTCCATGCATGGGTCCCTGCTGCCTAGAATAATTCCTGGTATATGGCAGATGTTCACTAAATATTTGCTAAATGAGTGAACATAAGAAACAAATAATAGGAACAGACTTTATCTTATTTTCAGTATCCCAAATACCTTTGCCAATCATGTATGTTTGTTTGTGGTGTCCTACGTACATTGTTTTGTTACCACAGGTGTTTTTGTCAACACTGTTGGCAGAGAGTGGTCTTCTCTCCCGTTTGAGGGAAAGAATATATGGTCCCTCTGTTATCTCCCCATTTGCAACCTTCAGTTTTTTTTCTCTAAACAATCTAATCCTTTAAAAACTTACAGCCAAGGGTGATATTACTCAACTTGATTCTAGAATAATACTTCTGATTTAACTTTACAGAATTGAATCTGTCAGTATATTAATTTTTATTTCTGAAAGTTTTCTTTGCAAAGATGCTATGGGTAAATGATGTATAGTCTGCTCAAATCAAATTAGAATATGTTAATTCTCTTCATTGCAGACTTAAGTTCATTTTATACTCCTCAGTTATAATTAATATAAATTGGCATATAATGGTTATATTGTATCCAAACTGGGATATTTTAGATTGTAAATATGAATGCAGAAATGTTCTTAAATTTTCCCAATTTTTACATTATGTTTGTCAGCTTGTACATTTTTTAAACAAATTCCATTTAAAGCATATAAAAAGCTTTTTTAAAACACTTAACAATCTAGCAAATAATTATTTCATGATTTTTGCTGGCTTTAGCTACTAAAATATATTCAGCCCAGAGCAAAACTTTATTTTACACACATTCTCCCTTGACTTTGCTGTATTATAAATATAAGTTATGACAGAAATAAGATCTGTCAAAATGCATATCATCAGTGAACTGAACGTAAAATGAAACCTAATGGATAATAATCCATCTGGGAAAAAATGCCAACTGTTACATTTAGATGTTAATTGGGGAATGCAGTATGCATTTTTTTTATTTGTCAATCAGTATTTCCCTTTGGGAAAAATAGGAACTGTTCATCTTCCTTAATGTGCCCTGATTAATATAGATTAAATGCAAAGGTTGAATGATGCAATTATCTTGGTTTCCACCCTTATATGAATTTATGTTAGTTCATTAGTAGAATAATCAGGTTTTAAGAACAAAGGTTAAAAGTTCCTATGGTATTTTATAGGCTTGTAAAATCATAAGTATAAACAAATATTTTATGACATTTTACAAAAGAATAAAAGAAACACTAATTGTTCAGTTCTATATTACTAAATATTAAGGATATTGAATTCTACTTTCCAAATACATTTATTAAAGAAAAAAACCAAAGAAACAATGTGTCTTATAACAGGCATGAACTTCCCTTGGGCAGCACATAGAGTGCGTGCCTTCAGGTTACACTTAACTGCCAAATTTTTCTTACAATAAAATTAATCCTTTTTGTACTGTGTTTTAGACTGAAATGTCTGAGTAACAATTTCATCACTGTATCAAAATTTAAAGGTTAATATTGGCATGTAGAATGCAGATTATAATCCCCAGTTAAATCTCAAAATCTTATCTGGTAGCTCCTAAACCAATTTGCACGTGCATAGTAAGTTTCTAGGAGGTGTACCTAGCTAGGTGCTACAATTTTTGGCAGCTTCCTGGCTGGAAGGCCCATGACTGCAGTAGAGCTACCTCCACCCTTCAGGGCACTTACCTCCACTTGACCTACTTCTGCTATTCCAAAGTCATCTCCAGGCTTTTGGCAAGGAATAATAGTTCCTCCTCTTGCAAACAAGGGGCAAGAGAACAAAATTAGCTTTGGTACTGTCAAAGTTAAAGTCGCCAGAATAACCACTCATTATTTTGTGTGTGTGTGTGTGTGTGTGTGTGTGTGTGTGTGTGTGTGTGTGTGTATACTGCATTATATATGTTTATATACAAATATACATATATACACACATATATTACAAGTAAACTCAGATTTTTAAAACTTGGTGTAGAAATGAAGGGGAATCTTTAAAAATGTAGAACTATACAGTAAGAAACATTTCAAAACAGTCAGTACAGGTTGACTTACTCAGCCTTTTTCAGAGGGTCACATAGCCAATCCAATAAAAGCTTCATTTTCTCTTAATTATTCATTTGTGCTATTAAGTAATATTGTTTAGGCTTTTGAATATTTTAAGCTAATTTGCAGCAATTATCTCACTACTTCTGTGAGTTTTCTTTGATTAAGAATGTTCTTTTACAAATGTAAATATACCTTGTACCTATGTAAATTATGCAAACATATTTGCATATGCAAACACATGCAAACATACTTTTTACACATGTAAGCATGCAAACTCTTACATATGTAAACATGCCTTTGGATGTAAAATATTTTACATTAAATTTTAATATTTGCTAGTTTTCAATATTATAAAAGACATTTATGATAGTACCCTTCAAATGTTTTATTATTGGATTTGCTTTTTCAGATTTTTCTATAAAATTTTTTATCTACAGTTTCTTGATCATGAGAAATCAGTAAACTTTCATTTTTAGATATTTGTTTTTACTTTTAAGTAATTAAATATTGCAAGAAAACTAGTAAACAGTTAAGGCAGTTTACAGAAATTTTCTGTTTGTATCTGGTTAAACAAATTATTTTAATTTGCATTGTATTTCATTAAAAATATTTTACATCAGATCTATTTTTATTATACTTCTGGTTATAAAGTTCATGTTATAAAAGTTATTTTTATTTATGAAGAATGTCATTTAACATTTCCTAAACACATATATGTTCTGTTCATTAGCAAAGGAAGAAATACTTGATTTTTTGTTGATTTTTTTTGTTGTTGTTGAAAAGTCATACTGTTTTGTTTTGGCTTTGACAGTATGCATTATGATACAAGAATACATATATATATATACACAGACCTATCTTTGGCCTTCTTAACTTACGCATATTGTACGTTCCAGGGTTGTGAACGTGAACACTGTATCAGTTCAATTGCAAACTATTATTGTTTCTCAAAAAATATTTAGAGTTTTCATGTTTGCCTTTCTCGGATTTTTTTGTTTTCTCTAGGTGTTTCCTTTATATTCTTTGATCTCAAGGAATCAAATTCTTCCGAGAATGTTCCTTTCTATAGTCTACATCTCTGTGTTACATATTTTTGTGTTCTTTATATGTTTAAAATACCCAATGGAAGGCTCTATCTAGTACATGTACACCAGACAAGAGCTAGCACTTCTGTGCAGTATAGTTCGCTACAGATACTCTATTACCATTCAAGTGAGGACACAATGCTTTCAGATCCCAGTCATCTTACTGAGGCATGCAGATGAAATATGTCAGGCAGGCTTGTATTGCCATGTGCTGTCTCTTGTCAGTTGCATATGTAATCAACAATCTTAAAAGAAAAAAAAGAAAGGAGCAATCTTGAACTACTGTTGTAGGCAAAATACTAGTTTGAACCTTAATAACTGGATTTGCCTGTTTACCTCCTCTCTTTTACCCTAAATGAATATGTGTAACTTATTCTGTGTGTCATTTAGAATACTCTGAAATCATGTGTGAATGCCTCTAGAAAACTTGTTTACTGACAGTAAGGTTACAGATGACTTATATCATAAGAATTCTTCCTGACCTGTAGCTTTTTTTTGTCATTATAAAAATGAATGTTTATTTTGTTTAATATTTAAAAATTTTTATAGGGAAGTGTTGTGTATGTTACAGAATAACAGACAGGTATGTTGAAATGTACATAATAATATGCCAATGTGTTCATAGAGAATTTCAAGTCTTCCTGACCAGAATATGAATTTTATTTTTACAAGTACTCTGCTCTGTCTTGTAGGCTTGGTGGCCACATTTTCTAAGCCAACAAAAGTTATGGCCTTAATGACCTGAGTTTAATTACACTAGCATCCTGTAGGAATTCATGATTAGAGGCAGTACTTCTAAAAATAATTTAGTGAATTTTCTTTTTAAGAGTATGAAAGTTCAGGTTCTGAGTTTGATAACAAATCTTAAAGGTAAAATGGATAAATGCTTTGTTTGTGTGTCCATACTATATTTTGGGGATATAATTGTAAATTCCTAGAGGACAGGGGTGAGATTACATTCCATTTTGCATCACTATGCCTAGCACGTTGCCTGACTCACAGCTGATACTCAATAAAGGAATTCTTTGGCTTCCATAACTTACATTTAACTTGAATTACATGTAAAATATCAACTCTTATTCATGCCTCATATATATGGCATGGAAATTTTGTTGAGACAAGTATTTGCTGATTTTTGGAAATAACAACTGGTATGCAAGTAATTGGGAAACATGTTGGAAACAAGATTAAGCACTGAAACAATATGTGAATTTAAGCAAGTCACTTAAATCTATTTCATTTCTGCTTTTTAAAATAAATAAGTTAACAAATTAATAATTCGATTTTGTTAATGTTGAAACTCAATTAATATATACCTAGGTTAGAATTACTTAAGATTTTTTGCACATTCTATACTTTAAAAATGAATTTTAAAAAATATACACAGGACAGCATAAAACTTTAAAATGTAAACTATAGATTCAGAAAAATACGGCTTTACCAACTACAGTTATAGTGTGCCTTCTGAAATTATGAAAAAACAAAGCTTTTAGGTAGAAAAACTCAAATGACTTAATAAATGATTCCTTTTCATTGCACATATTTTTTTTTCAAACCAATGTCTAGTGAGCTTCTCCCCTGAGGAAGAAATGACTGAAATTTTTCCTTTCTGTTTGCAGAATTTGTCCCAGTAGATACTGGTATTGTAAAGTAAATATTGTAAATTAATTAGAATTCTTAAAAAATGAAGAGAACCCTGATACAAAAACTCATACAAGGCAGCCTGCTGTTCATGTGTTGTAACAAACCAACACTAAATGCATGTTACATGCCAGCACCAGGCTTGGTGACATGTTTTATTCTGTAGCAATGATAAATTGTATTTCTGACCAGTTAATGTGATTATTTACATTCCCTGAAGAGGTATGTGTCTCCAAAATAGTGAGAATACAGGGAAAATTAGTAAGGCTCTTTATGTGTTTGACTGAAAGAATGGACATGGTTTGGGGTCATAAGTGATGTTCATCTATTACATTTTTAAGATTTTTCAAAGCACATTACACTGGCCTCTGAATTACAACAGTTTACCCTATTACTAGCCTTATGAAACTCTTCCAAGAATTTCTGTATATTGTATCTGAGGTGTCTAACAGACATTTTGGTAAATTATGTGGTTTCTCTGTGTTTACTCTGTCTTATTTATACTAGCTCCAGTGGCTGTTGGACAATTATGAGACAGCAGAAGGAGTGAGCCTTCCCAGAAGCACTCTATACAACCACTACCTACGACACTGTCAGGAACATAAACTGGACCCAGTCAATGCTGCTTCTTTTGGAAAACTAATAAGGTCAATTTTTATGGGGCTACGAACCAGGAGATTGGGAACTAGGTTAGTACTAAAACATAAGATCATAAACTAATCTCTCTTTTTTTCAGACTAGAGCAGTTTAGTATATTGTTTGAGCAGAAGTACCTGATTACAGATCACACATAAAGAAAAAGTGAAGAATGAGCTCTGTTTATAAAGTCCCTCAGAAAACATCATTTTCAGTGAATACTGTCAAATCAGAATAATAGGTTGTTCTAAACATCAGCTGAGCAAAGCTTTGAGAAGAGCCAATTCTCAAGTCACATAGAAACGAGCAGCCCAAACTGTTAAAGTACGATTTACATGTGATGCTTTAAAAATTAATATATATCACTATGTTCTCTTTTTGAAGATAGCCATGCTAAGATGATGAATAAAGTGACATAGTAAATGAAACATTATGTGTCTTTTGACTCTTGCAAAATAACATAGAAATGCCTTTATAAATAACTCATCCATTTGAACAGAGTAAGAAGTTAAAGTTGAGTTTATTTATTTCATTTCTGGAGATCAAATATAAATCATTTGGTGAACTCGTTGAATTTGGGTGTTTGAAGCCCTCAGTAATGACATGGTACTAGTTAATCTCTTTCAGCCTTTTAAACTCTTGCTTCTGAGACTATACACACATGGAAATGAAAATACAGTGTAGTTCTGTTGCATGGATAATGTGAAGATGTCTGTTAGTTTCTCGTTTCCTTCCTTTGAAAAGAGATATGAGTGTTTTTACTAATCAGAATAGGATGAAAAAAATACTTAAAACTGGGGAGCTTCATTTTACCTTTCTTTCATGTTGACAAGTTATTGTAACATAAATATTATAAGTAGCTGGGCAGACAGTTATGTGTGTTTTTGACTTCATAGATCTTACAGAAATCCATATTAAAAATAAAAAAGTGAAGGTGCTACACTGGATAACATTAAATGATATGTATGTAATTAGTTATAAATCATAACTTCATAGAGTTCTAGTCAGGAATTTTCAATATTCTTAATAAAATAAACAGACTTAGTCATTGACTACATTATACATTTACTGAAAAAAAGGTTATGTCAGTTTTATGAGATTGTACATAGTCTGTATATATTCAAAGTCTGAGTTATTCTTTTGTTGCATTTCAAGTAATTGTACAGCTTTTATATTGCTGGAGGTTCAGTTTTCTCATAAATATATTTTCTTCTACCTATACTTCAAAAGATAGTATATTTTAAACTGGAGAATATGATTATCTTTTCAGACTAAAGGAAATAACTTTTTTCAGTCCCTTGAAAAAGCTTTTCGTTTCTCTAGTATTTTATCTCCAGCACCATGAAAATGATTATTTAAGGACCTAACCTACTATCTCCTAGCTGATGGCTCATTGCATACCATGCCAATATTTTGAGACTCTGGGCTTTATTCAACAATTCTAATAGCTGTATTGTTGTGCTTCTTTTGTGGCTGAAAGGGATTTCAATGGGTCCTATTTTGAGACTCTATTCAAACCTTGAAACACATCTTTAAAATAGAAAGGAACAAAATTGGGGTTGTTTGGGTTTGTAAATGAGTAGAATCCATACTCTAAGTACATACTACAGTATTATAGCTTTTACTTTCTGATGTTCTCTCCCCCCCACCATGTAACAATTATGTGTCCTGTTCTTTAAAATTGTATGTGATGTTTGTAATTAGAGATGGAAAGCAAAGCCTAGAAAAATAAAGAGAAGAGAAATCTATTAAGGAAAGTTTAAGCAAATGCTGTATTATGACAATAGCAGAAATCTAATGTAGAAACACTGACAGTGATGGGGTGAAGTACCAGAGATTCCTTCTACCGTGGAAACTGTTGTACCCTTCACTCCCTACTCTTAACCCAGGGAACAGAAAGAAAGTCATGATAAACCACAAGGCAAACTAAGTCAGATACTTTTTTTTTTTAAAGCAAATCGTATACAGAGTTGTTTATTCAACCATCAATAAAATTATCTGGTGAATTCATTCAAACCAGAAACAGACTTTTTCTTAAGTTTTTAGAGCTAAGTAAAAAATAAAGTCATTATTTTTATGAACAAAAGGCAAATCAAAAGATCCCATCTCAAAGTAAGATGGAACATGCTGGTCTCCATGAACCATTCCAGTAGAATAGGAAGAACCAGTCCCCACCAACCCAACCAAAATGCTGATTTGTAGGAAGCTAGACACTTAATCTGTTTTGGGGTCTTACAAGGGAGCCAGCATTGTACCATGCAGTTTTGTCATTGGCTACATCCCCTCATTAATGTCTGCTGCTTCCCATCCCTACCTCTATGCCCCACTCTTCTCCGGTTTGTACAGGAGAACACTACTACTTGAGTTTGTGGTATTTTTTTGTTTTGTCTTTTGCTCTATTCTGTGATGGATTTTGGAGACAATCTAATCTATGCAAGTGAAAGGCATTAAGTATTCATCTGGTTTATTTTGCTGAAACTGTATATGTATTGAGATACCCTACTTTTTTTAAACTAGCACTATTATTTATATAGTAAGTTTAAATGTCTTTTCAAATATTTAGGGTTCATCTGATATATGTCCTTTAATTGTAGAAGTAAAATTCTGTCCTATTTTTTATAAAGAATATTTAATACCCCTTTTGCATTTCTTTTTGTAAATGAAAGAAAAAAATTGGTGAGAACACTTGATGTCTTGCTATATATAAACTTGTGAAAAGCTATTTTTTCTTTGCAAAAATTTACATATTTAAGTTGTTATTTTTGCAAAAATTCTCAAATTTCATTCAGAGCAAAATTTTGTCATTTCTAATAACAAACACAGTCTTTCTCATGAACATAGGGAAATTATCCAGGAAATTTGCCATTTTCACAGAGTAATTTCCCCATGTCTGTTGTGATATAAACAGCCTGTAAATCTCATGTGAATCCATAAAAGCATAGAGTAATATAATATTTCAAAATCAGTAGATTAAATGCCTGCTTATTTTAATGTTTCACAATATTAAATAATAGACCTTAGCACATCTTCTATCAATGAAGTTATCTTCATCATCCCTGCAGTAACATAACTAGAAAAATGTAGAACTTATCCAAGAGTGCAGAATTAAGACTTTTTTTCCTGTTTGTTCTGTGTAGGCATTTCATAATAAATTCCTATTTAGTATGTAACCCCTTATCCTGTTAAGGAATTTTTATTGGCCAGAAGTTTTTTCCTACTATTACTCAAATGAATTTAAAAATAAAACCTCGAAAATAAAATGTAACTTACTGAAACAAATGGACTCTCTGACTAATATTTACGTGAAAGTTTATAAGGAAAGATTTTTTTCTTAGGGCTTTGAGCTGATTGATTCAGAATCTTATTTTGATTCTTCAGATGTAGCCACCATAAATATGTGCAGGTATTAAGAACAGGTAAATCACAAATACATAACATTAACATGCTACTTCTACCTAATTTTTCCAAAAGTGAAGTTAAGTGGACATCCGTTATGGTTAACATTGGTTTGACTGACTGTTTGTGTCTCTAATGTTGTTTTTTTTATGAAGAGGAAACTCCAAGTACCATTACTATGGGATTCGTGTCAAGCCAGATTCCCCTCTTAATCGTCTACAAGAAGACATGCAGTATATGGCTATGCGACAGCAACCCATGCAACAGAAACAAAGGTAGCCACTGTGATTATCACTGAATGTCAAAGCTCTGCATTTCTTTAGATGTTCGATCTCCTTTTTTATACCTGAGTGTCCAGAAATGTCACTCTTGTTGGCATGCTTTCACTATAGACAGTTCTCAAATATGACTTAGAATTTCATTCTTTTCTAGATTTTAAAAAATGACTTATCCATCAGCCTTTCTGTTTTGCCCCTTTTAAGTTAAATGTGACATCCCAATCTATTCAGACAAGGAAACTAAACACAAAACATAGTAAGGAGCATATCCAAACAAATACCAGTACTTCTCACATTTTCTTTGAATCCAGTTTCCATAGATATAGAACTGTAGATATCAGAGCTGTAAAAGATCTCAAACATTCATGAATGAATGGATGGATGGATGGATGGATGGATGGATGGATGGATGGATGGATGGATGAATAGAATCATAGATCTTAGAATTGAGAATACCTGTCTAGTCTAGCTCAACAGCCTATGACAATCAAAGCATTAATAGCCCTCTTTTTCATCTAAGTCCTAGAGAGAGTAAATGATGTGCACAAACCCATAATGCTGTTATATAGCTAAGGGTCTTCTAGTCTCATGTGATTTACATCACAGTTTGGAGTAAATAAAAATAAGAAAATTTTCCTCCCTCTTTACCAGTGTAGTTCAGCCATGAACAATAGTTATAATTTTTCTTTTCAATTGAGCATGTGAAATTGGGTAGCAGGAAGGAGAATGACACTTAGGTAGTCAGATTATCTGTATCAATATGCCTAATCTATTGTTCTGGGATGATTTAGTCACCTTGGCCAGATCTCCCACATATCTGTACTAGCTTAGTCAGAAGCATTAGCTCTAAGTCACTGCTAAAGAAAGAATATATCATGCAGTAGTCCTTTATCTCTTTAGTCAACAAGCATTGATTGAGTTTCTCCTATGTGTTAGGCCCTATTAGAATACTAGAACTATTAGAATACAGAGAATTTTCAGCAAACCCTGGCGAGAGAGGAATAGGAAGTTTCATAGAGAAAGTGCTATTTGAGTAGGGACTTAGAGGGATTAGAACAAGAGAGGACATTAAGGCAGAGAGAATAATATAAACAAAAGCAGCACCGACGGGCAAAGTGCATGATTTCTTTGGTAAATGCTCTATGTTTGTTGAGATTTTATTGCAGGAGGAGGCTGGCAAGTTTAGTTGGACATGGGATTTAAAAAGTAGTTTGGATCATAGATTAAGGCATTTGATTGTATATGAAACTAATGAGTTAGTTCTTTGTGCAGAATATAACTTTGAAACTGTGTATGGCCTTGAAGTAAAACAATGAAACTTTCAGATTTTTTTTCTAGAGAGATGAGTTTGATTTGGGGGGAGACATTTAATGGGAAGAGACTGAGAGTAAACCTACTTGTTGAAGTAGTCATAACAGAGTCATAATTTCTAGTACAAGTGTTCCAGATTGAAGAATTAGTTCAAGATTGTCTATTATATAATGGTATCTCAAGAGTTTAAAATTTTTAATTCACAAGTTCTCAACCTTATTTTTTGAATTGTTGATCCTTATTTTATGAGGTGTAGTCAGTGAAATATTAAGAAAGGCTCTGGAAAAAATAATAAACCATAGAACAGTCCCTTATATGGCTGGAGATAGATTTGTGTGCGTTTGTAATAGACATTTTATTGTTTTGGGCTATGATTATTTTTTCCACCTGTTGGCTGCACTTGCAGCTTTTACTTTCTGGCATGGTCACTGAACTCATGTGCGACCGCACTACACAATGGAGGTGATATTGAGATCAAGACCAAAAGAAAAGTCTGACTCAAACATAACGTACATTCAAACTTAAATATGAATGAAACCTTGGTAAATTGCACCTAAGACATCTGAAGCCTATTTCTTCCTGTGATTTAACTGCAAAGAATCTTAGCAAGTTTTCATGGAATTAAAGCCTTCAAGTGACAGTCTTTATAGAAAGCCTGGGTTAGGTAAGCAGGACCTAGAGCTCACAAAGGTCTCCTTATAAAACAGATTCTAGAGCTATAAAGGTTAATGAGCCAAGAAGACCTACAATCTCAGTATGGTAGTAATTGCCTTTAGAATTAGATATAATATGGTTGTATTTACTAAGTGCTATAAAATTCTTAGTAATGTTAATAAATTGTACAGACTTCTTTTTCTCATAGTGTTTGCTTTCTTATGAAGTAAGGATGTTAAAAACCAAGGAAGTACTGAGCTCTCCTTGCATTTTTAAAAAATGATACAAGTTTTGAATTAATTACGGACAGCTGCTCTTGGAATAGTGTCTTGCTAACTGATTGCAGTGTTAGTGTTATGAACTTCATGGACACCTACAGAAAGAGGTTTCTGTTGTTTCTTTGAAGGATTCCATCAACTGGCCACATTGATAGGCCATAAGTGAAGCCAACTACCCCTGTACAGAAACACTTGGACACGAGAGTAAGAGTATTTGTTGAAAACAATGGCAAAACTTATTCTATCATTTGTTTTATGGCTTATACAATGATTACAAATCTCAAATTATTCTATATGCTTAATTTCACATAAGAGATTGCCATTCTTTTGTTAAAGTTCAAGTGACATGTGAAACATTTAAAATATAGCAGCTACTAGTACTTAATATTTTAGAATATTCAAATTGTTTAAATACCTCTAAGTTAATTGTATGCATCTATATGTGCATGTAGTGTAAATTTTCATGTTTCATGTGTTTTTATAGTAAGAATTCAAGAATATGAAGTGATTATTTTATCAAACAGTAAGGTTTGGAGGCTTAATTTGTACATTTTTCTGCTAAGTTTGGAATCATAATGGTTGTGCTGGTCATAAAGATTATGGTTTTGATAGCATGATAATTTTTAGAGCCCCTGTACATACAGTATCTCATTTGAAGTTCTGATAGGGTGGTAGAGGAAATTTCCACTTACCTACAAATTCAGATTCCCAGCAACACCACCTTATGGAATATAGCCATGAGCCTAGAAATAAATGGAAATAGCTTCTGATTGAAAACCAGATGCCACAGAGCCCATAGCTTAGCTTAATTGAAAAGATAAAGCCATCCTCAAACCATTTACCTAAAATAAAGGAGCAGATTAAAGCCCACTTGATTCACAGGCAATCATGAGATACAACACTGGCAAGAGGAAGTGTAAGTAGACAAGGGTCTTCTATTTACTTTTGGGTTACTCAGCACAGCAGTCTGTGTACATTCAGTGGAGGGGCAAATAGACCTAGGCACTCCAGTAGGCCCTTTGAGTATCACTCTGCTGACTACAATCTAGTCTAACACAGTGTAGTAACTGTTTGGCATATTGATGACATTTTAAGTAATCAAGAAGAGGTAAAGTGCCCTGGTTAAGGAAGCAGGAGAATGTGTGATAGTTGTTTTTTTTAATATTTTCTGTTGAAAATATTTCATATGAAAATAACTTCTGCACTTAAATAAGGTAATCTTCAATTTCAGGGAAATTCATTCATGGACTAATTTGCTTACCCTCATTTAGATAATAACTAAATCAGGTTATTAATGATCAAAAGGGGGGATGAGTAGTTTTCAACTCTATAAACTAAGTTAAAATGTTTGCTGCAGTTTATTTTTAGTATTAAGAGAAGCACATAGAGATACCATATATCTTAGTTATTCTTTCAAATTCTATTAGCAAAAATGGTGGAATAGAACCAAGTACTTTTGACAGTGTGTTTGGCTGTGTTTGATCCCAGTAGTCATTCTCAAAATATTAAACTGCAATTATCACTTTTTCAAAAAAAACATAACAATGAACAGTCACATACAGAATATGTCCATCACATCTCAAAGAGATATCACAGGATCATAAAATGTTAGATCTGGAAGAAAGGGATCACCTAGTCTAACTCACCCTCTTGGTGAGAAAACCAAAGACCAAATAGGGTAGGTGACTTATCTACCATCATACAGAAACAAGGACAAGAACCCTCTTATCTTTATTCTTACATGAATTCCACCATTAAAGAGGTAAGACAACACAAACAGAAATATATGTATGTAATAACATTTTTCCATATGAAATAAAGGGAAAAATTATGCTTCAGTGAGTTTGTCCCAAATAAGTGAGGAAATTTACCATTTCCTGCCCCTTTGCATGGTCTCTTCACAGGAAGTAGAATCTGAAAGAGGGAACCTTGTGGCACTAAGGGGAGGAAAGTAGAGGCCAGCTGGAGAGATGGTACCTCCAGGCTACTTTTGCTTTAGCTGTAGAAAGATACGAGACCTTGTATGTTTCTAAGGACAAGGAAGGACAAGAGCACTTGTCATCAGAAGACCTTTATTAATGTAGATTTCCTAAACTAATGGAAAGAACCCTACATTTAAAATTGGGAAATAGGGATTTGCATACAGGCTCCTTTGGCACTTCTGCATCATGTGTGACAACTTCACTGAACCTTGACTTCTCCTTCTGCAAAATGGAAATTAGTAATAATAGACTACTCTGACTGTTGTGATGTCCAAGTGGGAAAAAGTATATAAAGTTTTTTTAATAACTGGAAACATTCAAGTGTTAGATAAATAATAATAATTATTATCATCATCATTATACTATGGGCATTAGAGAAAAATATTCCTTTAAGAATAAAGCTGCTTTGGAGAAGAAGGAAGCCTGGCAATCTAGCAAGTTTGGCTTCTATTTCTTTATACCTCTAGACCAGTGGTTTTCAACTTTGATTGATGTAAATAATTTACCATTCCTTCCCTAGACCTTGAATTCCTGGGGTTTATTACAGAGCTAAGCATCGAAGGTTGGTAAATTACTGTGAGGCAGCTGAGAGTGTCAGGAGTCTTTAATGGGAAGATAATCAGCTGCCTGTGCATTTGGCTTTTGGAGACAAATAAGGGATCTTGGCACTGAGGTATTTAATGTTCACTATGCCACTGCAGCAGTCCTGATGTAAAGATACTTTCCATTGAAGATGGGAGAATCATAAATAATCACAACTCAGTAATTAGTA